AGGGGGAACGGACGTAGACAATTCTGGTGATACCCAATAAGATTATTAGTTGGGGGGAGGAAAACGCGTGGCAATTAGGTACCAGACATTATTTTCGACAAAAGATAGACATTGGTCACCTTTGAATTTTAGGTGGGCTCATCTTTCTGTTTTTATTACTTTTTCTAGCTTGGATTTTTTGTTGCATTTTGGTGAGGATTTGTGTTTAGTTTTTACACGAACAGGTGATCACAAGATACCTGCGCACAGGTTTTGGTCTCAAATTGCTTGGAACATTGAAATAGAGGTAACTAAAAAGAAATAAGGAAAAGGGGGTCAGCATTTGGCTTTTAAGAGAGGGTTTTTGGGAAAATTTTACTAGAGCTTGAGTGGTGGTACAAGGTACAGTGAATCAAGAAGTCCCCATAACGAAGAAGAAAGAGGTCCCACCGCTCAGACACTTGTCAACAGTCTTGGGACAGTGCCAAAGAAGTCTTGGGACAGAGCAGTCTGGGGACAGTCTTGGGACAGTGGTCTTGGGACAGTGGTCTTGGGACAGGGGTCTTGGGACAGTGGTCTTGGGACAGTGGTCTTGGGACAGTGGTCTTGGGACAGTGGTCTTGGGACAGTGGTCTTGGGACAGTGGTCTTGGGACAGTAGTCTTGGGACAGTGGTCTTGGGACAGTAGTCTTGGGACAGTGGTCTTGGGACAGTGGTCCTGGGACAGTGGTCTTGGGACAGTGGTCTTGAGACAGTGGTCTTGGGACAGTAGTCTTGGGACACTAGCCTTGGGACAGTAGTCTTGGGACAGTAGTCTTGGGACACTAGCCTTGGGACAGTAGTCTTGGGACAGTAGTCTTGGGACACTAGCCTTGGGACAGTAGTCTTGGGACACTAGCCTTGGGACAGTAGTCTTGGGACAGTGGCCTTGGGATAGTACTCTCAGGACAAGGGTCTTGGGACACTGACGGAAAGTACTGGGACAGTACCGAACAGTCTTGGGACAGTGGAAAGAAGCCTGGGACGGTAGAAAGAAGAGTAGTGACGGTAATTGGAAGTCTTGGGACGGTATAAAAATTGAAGTAAAATTACAATAAGTGTTTTTAAGACAAGAATTAAGACAGAACAAGACTAATTGGAACCCGGTACGGTTGAGACCACAAATAAAGAAAATTTCTCGAAAAGTTTAGAAAGAGAACTGGAACAAGGTTTTTACCACGTCGCATATTTCTTTTGAATAATTTTTCCTCAAAAGATTTTATTCTTAGATTAGAATTGTGTATATAGTAATATTGTAAATAAGAGCAATTGTAAATAGAAATAATGAGACGGAGTAGGGTACCGGTGCTAGAAAAAAGGTCAAGTGGATCAAACACGAAATATAACTCGTCGCTGCGCGGAACGACATCAAGGGGCCCAGGCAAAACAAAAGATAACTTTTCAGTTAGCATGGTCAGCACGAGGAGTAGCACCGAGAATAAGACGCGAGAAGATGCGAAAGAAAAACGGGTGGAACCCACAATCGAAATCGATCTAGAGACACCAGACCAGAGCGTAGATGAAGTGGAGAAAAAGACAACAGAATCCACACCGATGCCCCATATGGAAGATCAAAATCCAAAAACCGTGGAGTTTTCGCCGATAGACGCGTTGGAAGACACAACAGGCAATACCCGAGAAACGGTGAAAGACGACTCTCAAGTAAAGAAAACATCTTTTACAGAAAAGTTGGCGATGATGGTCGGAATGGAATCGAAAGACAACACGGCCGAAGAATCACAGACTGGAAGAGCACGAACATTTGGGACAGTGAGCACGAAAGCGACAGAAGCCGACCCAAAGGAAGAACAAGCCAGAACAGAAGAGGCAGCCGAAAACAAGACAACGGCTGTTCATGAAACAGCTGCTCTTGAGCTTGGCGACCTGATGACAAAGCTAAATCAGATCGACAAAAAACTAAAGTATAGTGAGGAAGATAGAGACTTAATAAGGAAAGAGTTAAAATACAACAAACACGAATATCTGGATAGTTATTTTAACCTGGCTAAGGCGACAGACGAGAGACTCCAGCAGATGTCGGACAAGGTAGACGCCACCAATGAAGAACGAGATAAGAACATCAAAAAAGATATGCAACAGTTGAAAAACCGATATGATGATGTCAACAGCCAATTAGGTAGCCTGGAAAAGAGAATGGACATAATGAACAGGAATCAGGCCGAAAGTTCGTGTGCAATACAGGCGAAATTGGATGCAATCTTGAGAAATTCTACCTCACAAGAAAGACCGGCAGTGGATCGCACGCAAGGCACCAGAGTTGACTTTGTGGAACCACAAAGGAACAAACGGCAATCGACACCGTTGCCTTTAAACCGGGATGCGGTAAGCATAGCACCAACGGCTGCTAAAACAATCATGAAAAATGGAGCATCAAACACAATGAGTGGCCCGGGGGACTCAACAGCTAACAGCAACGCAGGTCCGGATGCCATGACGTGGGCAAGCACTTGGGAGATGATGAACAGGACTCTAGAGGCCTTCGCAACGAGGAACACTGACTCGAGCGATAGGAGAGATGGAAAATCAAGAAAAACTTTCAAGAAGCCAAAGGAATTCAAAGACGACTCCGATGGATGCATCGACACTTGGGTGGAAGTGATGAGATTACACCTAGAGTAAGATAACTTAAATGATGAAAGACAAGCATGCACAGCCATACTCAGCAACTTAGAAGGCACGGCATTAAAATGCGTGGTTGCAAAGAAAGAAGAAGAACGCGATACCGCGGACAAGATCTTCGAAATATTGCTGAATCGATTCGGGTCAGGCATGAAGGGTCACCAAGCGATGATGCGATTTGAAAAGAGAAGGCAAAGGGACGACGAGTCAATTGATCGGTTCCTAGATGAACTCGAGAGCTTGAGAAGAAGGAGTGACCCAGAGGAGTCGACAAACAGAAGAAACTTTAGCATTGCCTCGAAGTTCATTGATGGGGTAAAAAGTGATGACTTAAGAACAATGTTAGCAACATACTACACATTGTCGAAGGACAGCGCTCCAACCCCAGAAGAAATGAGACAGAAATCAAGGGAATACATGTTGATGAAGCCCAAGAAATACTCATATTCAGAAAACAGGAACACGCAAGGGGGGGGGGCCAACCCCAGAGGTCATCATGGTACAAACCTACAGATGATATGGACAAGCGCAGATCATGTGCGAATTGCGGGTCGGCGGATCATCATGTGGCTGACTGCACAACATACAAACAAGGCATGAAGAGCCTAGGATACGCACCGGATGAGGAGGACATGAGCCAGATGGAGGAACACGAGTACTACAATGGCTTAATCATCAAGATAGGCGCAAGATGCTTCTTCTGTAACCAGGAGGGGCACTTCAGAATGGATTGTCCCTTGTTCTGGGAAGCGGTCAAGGACCAGAATCACCCCAAACACAAGTTGGCATTAGCGGCGGTGCAGAATCAGCGGAACAGGCAGAACGAGTTTGAATCTAGGAACTTAGGAGCACCAAGCACGGAATTGCCAACGAAAACAGTGAAAGCTGTAACACATGTTAATGGTGCGATAGAATCTGCGGCCGGGAACTCTCTAGAGATAAATTATGAGAAAGCGGCGACGGAAGCAATTGCCAAAGTGAAACAGGATCTGGCTGCGAAAGAAATAGAGCAACGACTAAAGCTGGAGATCGAAAGACAGAATTTTAACGAAGCATTAACCGGATCGAGCCCAACACCAGAGGCTGTACCGGGCTCAACAAAGACCGGGAATTGTAACACTGTAAAAATGGTGACGGGAAAGCCATTCGGCATATCGAAAATCGGGGCAAGAATAATGTCGATAATCACAGTGGGCGGCCACGAGGTAACCAGAAACTTGAGCGAACCGAGCGACCAGACGATAATGCACATTGACGTGTACGCAGATTACTTGAGTGGTATAAGCCCACAAACGACTTCTAGAGCGCTGAGAGCACTACTCATGAGAGGGGGCAGCAAGTCGGTACGTGTTGACAACAGATATACTGAAGCTTATGGTCCACACGAGGTGATGCTAAATATAGATGGGATCAACATCTATACCAACACAATGATAACATGTGACGAAGACCTAATTGGGCAAATCTACTTAGGGGAAGAAGAGTTGAAAGTGAGATCGATTGGACACTGCGCCATGCTTGAAGAAGATGCAATGCACATCGGGACGGAGGCAGATGTGACAGGGCACGTGCTAGATATAAGTGCCAAAAAGACTCAGTTGCGTGGGTTACTTGAAACGGGAGCAGTCTTGAGCGTCATACCAATCGAAACTTGGGAAAAGATGGGCTTTGACAAAGGTGACTTGATAGACTCGAGAATACGGCTGTCAGCTGCAAACAAAGGGGCCCTTCGGGTGCTGGGCAGGACGCCGATAATAGCCCTCAATTTGGGGGAACGTAACCTGTGGATGAGCGTTATCGTGGTAGAAAACCTAGATGAATCTGACCAATTCATTTTGGGCAGAGACTTCATCAGGAATTTCGACGTAACGATTGATCTAAATAACGCATTGTTCAGGATACGGAACCCGGATAGGAGGTACGCAATCAAACCGGTAAATTTAATAATGGCAAATGAAAACAAAGCACCGGTATTCTTGAGTAGGAGGGTGAGACTAAAAGCTTATGAAGCGGCAATCGTAAGCTTGAGGATGAAAAATTACAATGAACTAAGTGACAACAAGCAAGTGTGTATAGTTCCGAATCCTAATAGTCAAAGTGCTGCTGTTTTAGGAAGATCATTCTCGATAACGAAGAGCGGCCTCTGCGTCAGTGTCTTGTTGAATACCCTTGATATACCGATTACGATACAGAGAGGGAGGAAACTGGGATATGCTTTACCGGTTAAAACTCGATATGAAACGATTGAGAACTCAAAACAAAATGAAGTTGTTGATTGTCCCAATCACAGGGACAAAATTTGTATCTTGAGACGATTGCAGAAAATAAAAGATTTTTCAGCTCTTATTAAATCACTTAAGTCAGAAACGGACGATGGGCTGTCGAGCTGTTCGAACTTTCCAGAGCGACCTACACTAGATGAAATGCAAACTGATAAACCGGTTCTGCCGGAGATTGAACATTTGAGGGGTAAACTGAAAGATGAACAGCTCGAAGCCATCAAGGACGTACCAGAGCGGAACGAGGAAGTTTTTTCGAGGCATAAGGCGGATATCGGGTGTTGTAATTTTGTTGAGCATGAAATAGAACTTGAGGAAAACGCGGTACCACACAGGGAGGGGGCGAGGCGCATGACCCCACACAAATCGGACGCGTGTAGAAAAGAAATCGAGACGTTACTAGAGTATGACATGATAGAACCATCCAAGTCACCGTGGGCGCGTGGAGTAGTGATGGCCAAAAAGAAAGGCGACCAGTTGAGGTTTTGTTGCGACTTTCGATACCTGAACTCCGTCACGGTGAAGGATGCCTATCCCATACCTAGAATTGATGAGAGCCTCTCGAAGTTAGGTGATGCAAAATTTTTTACGACTCTTGATTTAGGCTCGGCCTTTTGGCAGGTACCACTAAGGAAGCAGGACAGGGACAAGACAGGGTTTGCCTGCGAGTTGGGTCTGTTTCAATGGAAACGGATGCCGTTTGGGCTTTGCAATGCCACAGCCACGTTTCAGCGGTTGATGGCACACACGCTGATAGGCGTGACGAAGAAGTATGGCAATCTGGTAATGTGCTAAGTGGATGACGTGGTAATAGCGACGCCAACACTGGAGGACTACATTGAGAGACTTGACGAAGTGTTTGCATGCATGAAAAGGTCGGGGCTAAAGTGTAAACCATCGAAGTGCGAGATACTCAAGGACTCAATAAAATACTTGGGCAGGATGGTAGACAAGCACGGCATCAGACCTGATACGGACGCCGTGGAAGCAGTCCTAACCTGGAAATCACCGAAGACAGAGCACCAGTTGATGAGCTTCCTGGGTTTCGCTAACTATTATAGAGAGTTCATCAAAGGCTACGCGGACAAGGTATACCCGATGCAACAATTAATGAGACACAAGGGCAAGAAGTTCACGTGGAACAACGCAGCAGAAGAGTCATTCCAGAGAATAAAGAAAGAGCTATGTGAGGCACCAGTACAGAGAGGGATGTACGTGCTGGACACGGATGCGTCGGTAGTCGCGATTTCGGGGATTCTCCACCAAGAACAAGAATGGAATGGGAAGACAGTCTTGAGACCAATAGCGTACGGGAGCAAAGTCCTGAGTGACACGGAAATGAAGTACGGAGCACCGAAAGCAGAGATGTTTGCGGTGGTTACCTTTGTCGAGAAATACAGGGCATACCTGGGAAGTGAGCCATTCAAGTTGCGAGTAGATAACCGAGCACTGAGCTGGCTGAAAACGTACTCAATGGACCAAAGTTACATTGGGAGGTGGATAGTTCGCCTAGATGGATACAACACGATAATTGAGCATAGAACACGAGATAAACATCAGAATGCCGACAGCTTGAGTAAGAAGACGGAGTTCTATGAGAGACAAGAGCAAAGAGAGGCAGACAGACCTGAAATCAAAGATGGCTTTTCCTTCATGGACAAGGGAACGTACGACAGTCTTCCACTCACGAGATGGCTGGACAAGTCAGGCAAACCGATAGAAGATCATCCTGAATTACCTAAAGAACCTCCAGAGAAGACCATCATGAAGAAGAGCAAAAGGATTCCGATAGAGATAATACTCAAGTCGAAGATCGTGTAGGAGACGCTCAAGGCAAAAGGCTATGATCTTAACCAGGTAGAAGCAGGAACTGCACAGATAGATGATGACTTAATGAGGTTGCTCGAGAAACTATCAGATGATAAGCCCGTGACCCAAGAGAAGGGTCAAGAGGAGCCGGAAGTCACTATACTTCGGAGAAAAGAGACAGTGAACGATATTGACTCCTCAAGAGGAAGCGTCACTGACAGCAAAGATGTCGTGCGGTCACTAGTTGACAAAATCCCCGAAAACATTCTGGAGCAGACCAAGGTTAGGAAAAAGAAAGTGACGTTCAAAGAAAATACAGAACACCCGGGACTAGGTCAAGAGTCCGGGGAGTGTTCCAGGTTCGCGGAAGAAGAAACCGGAGAAGGAAAATTGTCCGGGGAGCTTGAAGGATGGGATGAAGACTCGGATGAGAGCAGCGAAAACCAAGACAGTCTGTGCATGATATTGGCGGAAGAGAAGACAAGGCACCACGACAGGGAGTTACAGACGGATCCATCTTCAGGAACATACAATATGGACATACAGGAGATGCGAGGTGGTGAGGAACTTGAGAAAATTGCGGTTGCAAGGAAGCCATTCAGGGAACTATCATGCAACTCAAACATCAGAACGAATCTGGTGCCAGAAGATGATATGAAAATCGTGAAAAGGATGATATGCGTGAAGCTGAGCGACGACATCCACAAACCTGGTGAGATGAATGGACAGATCATGGCGCTAAAGGAGCATGTCAAGGCGAGATACAGGCTGTCAGACCTAATAAGAGCCCAAAAGAATGACAAAATGACAAGTAACCTCTCCAAATGGATCCAGTCGGGGGTCAAGGAGAAGGGGGAACTCGAGGAAGACAGCTACAAGATCTTGAGCCAGTTCTACAAAGAAAAGAAAGACTTACTCCACCACACAGCTGATGGGGTGGTAGCATGCAGAAGGAAAGATGAGGAGAAGATATTACACAGACACAACCTCATCATACTACCGCAATTATATCAAACGGAGGTGCTTTTCAGATCGCACGACCAGATGGGACACCAGGGGATAGATAAAGTACAACAAAGGATACTTCACAGGTTTGATTGGCCAGGAATGAGAAAGGCTTGCGAGAGATGGGTGAATGCCTGCCTGGCATGCCTCCAGGTAAAAGACCCAAGGAAGATGAAGTTTCCCCTCAAGTCTGTCGAGAGCTCGGAGTTCAATGAAGTGCTGCAAATAGACCATCAAAAAATCTGCATGACGGAGTCGGGATATAACCAGATACTGGTTATAATAGATCAATTCACAAAGTTGGCGGAAGCGGTTCCGTGCCAGACAGCCTCGGCCGAGGAGACATGTGATCATCTGATAACGCATTGGATATCGCGGTATGGTTGTCCAATGACTTTCCAGTCAGATAACGGCAAAGCTTTTGTGGGGGACTTGACAAAAGAATTGATGAAGAGATCGCACATTGCTCAAGCACACTCGACAACCTACCATCCACAGACCAACGGGTTGGTAGAGAGACAGAACAGGACACTGGTCAACATGTTGAGGGTGTACTGCTCAAGATACATGACGGACTGGGATAAATACCTGCCACAGGTAGTAGGGGCCTACAACAGTACACAGCACTCAACGACGGGCATCAGTCCCTTCATGATGTTGACGGGCAGGGAGAGAGCAATGCCTCTGACATTCTTTTACCCGGAATACGAAGGGAAAAGGACGTCGCCTCAGGCATACGTGAAAGAAGCGATCAGGAGACAACAGGAGTTAAACGAGCTATGCAGGAGGAACACGGCGCAAGCGCAAATGAGGCAACGCAGAAAATATGACGAAAAAATATTACGAGCGAAGCCATATGAAGTGGGCCAATACGTGTGGGTCTTCCAAAATGTCATACCGCCCAAGGGAACAAAGAAACTACTCAAGAAGTGGAGGGGACCATTCATGATAACGGAAGTTCATCAACAAGGACGGTTCTATCGCTTGAGTACTGGGCGAGCGGCACATTATGAAAATCTGAAGCCTCACGTCCCGTCCCCAGAGGATTGGTGCATACCGAAGGACATGGAGGGTCTTGAGTATCTGGTGGTAGAGCCAGCGTGTGAAGTGAATGAAAAAGGCACCAGAGAGAAAAATGATGGTAATGAGAACTTGAGTTTGGACGACAATGAAAAGATAGGAGGGGAGTCTGATGCAGGATCATTTGTAGAAGAAGACTGGAACGACCCGGAGCAAGATGAGGTGCCGAAGTGGATGGAGCCAGATCGACCAATACCGCCGGAAACCAGGACTGGCAATCGTAAACGCACCGGCATGAGGTACAACAGGTACGGGGATGACTTCTTAATCGATAAGATACAGCCAGACGAATTGGGCGAGGAACTACTGAGTGCAGGCGAACTGGAAGCCGAAGAGGAATGGCAGGTCATTGACGATGGTGGACACTATCCGCAGGAAGACTACTCGACGCCAGAACTGGAGACGGGTCTCGAACAGAGTGAGATAGAGAGGAGGGAGAACACGAACTTGAGGATACTAGAGTGGATGCGCGACGTCAAAGACGAGAGCCGCGAAGGACAAAGCATTCAACAAGTCGATGTATCAGCGGCAAATTACATGAAGGCAGAGGACCCTCTTTTTGGATGGACGGCAACAGACAGGCCACTGGACATTCCTCAGGACAATTCAGACCCGACAACATCGACGGGGACGTCGATAAATATTTTTGTCCGGGGAGTGGGGGTAGGACTTACCCACACCAAAAATTTGATGATAAAGAAGCTCAAGGAAGTGAGAGAAACAAGCGAATTGGAACTGGAAGAAGAAGAGCCAGAGCCTAACATAGGTCGGAATTTCAAAACGAAATTTGAAATACCCACCGAGTACTCAGAAAACATCATGATAACGGATAGCGACTTCATCCTGTCAAACAGGACTAGTGCGATCTGCATCACGGCGGACATGAGTTTCAAATCAAGATTGGAAGCTGACTTCAAAAGAGAGTACCAGAACGTGGAGTTTCTGTTCAGACAGAGACCAGGACTGGGAGGGATGGCAGCGCTTCCACCATCAGTAGCACAAGTCCCGGGCAAATATCTGTGCTTCCTAGTGACGAGGGTCAATGACAGGAACACAATCAATCCCGAACACGTGATGTTGGCACTAACAAGACTACGAGACTTTATGATTGAAAGAGGAATAACGGAGGTCTCGATGCCGGTGTATGACCCAAACAGGGGCAAACTGAGCTCAAGGGAG